TTCGAATGATTGATATTTAAATGGAGTTGTAGAAAAAATATTGTTTGCAACTCGAGCGCGAAATACTTTGGTGATCTTGACTATTTTTTTAAATCGGCTGCGCCTCGTTAAAAAAATCAGATCGCCAAAGTAGCATTTCGCGCCCTTGATACAAAAATAACTATTTCAAAAAATTTACAAAAATTGCAATGTTTCTTCCAGGAAAAAGAGCTGAAATTTAATTGCTGGAAAAATTTTGATAAAAAAATTCCGAATGCTTTTTTGAAGGAAAAATGACAAATTAATTTCTAAAACTTTCAAAAAAATTCTGGCATTTCCTTTGAAAAAAAAATTTTGGAAAAACAAAATTCTGGAATTTTCTTCCAGGAAAAAAAGAAAAAAAATTGGAATTTTATTTCGGAAAAAAATTTTAAAAAAAATTGAAGGGAAAATTTCGTAAAAAGAAAAATTTCAGATTTTTTTTGAAAGTCCGGAAGGAAAATTCCGGAATTTTTCTTTTTCGAAATTTATCCTTCAAAAAAGCATCTAAAATTTTTGTTCAAAAATACATATTCCTGAAATAAAATTCCAGATTTTTATTTTCTTTTTTTCAATTGTTCCTGAGAGAAAATTCTAATTTTTTTTCAATTTTTGAAAGAAAATTCCTGATTTTTTTATTTTTTTAAAGAAAATTCAGGAAAAATTTCAAAAAAAAAAAACCTTTAAGGGAAAAATAAAAATAAAAAAAAATCTGGAATTTTCTTTCAAAAAAAGAAAATTCAAGAATTTTCTTTCAAAAATGAAAAATTTAGGAATTTTCTTTCAAAAATTGAAAAAAAAAATTGGAATTTTCTCTCTGAACAAATTGAAGAAAAGAAAATCTGGAATTTTATTTCAGGAATATTTTTGAACAAAAATTTTGGATGCTTTATTGAAGGATAAATTTCGGAAAAGAAAAATTCCGGAATTTTCCTACCGGACTAATTTCAAAAAAAAAAAATCTGAAATTTTTCTTTTTTCGAAATTTTTCCTTCAATTTTTTTTTTAATTTTTTTCTGAAATCAAATTCCAATTTTTTTTTTTTTTTGTTTCCTAAAAGAAAATTCCAGAATTTTGTTTTTTCAAATTCCAGAAGAGTAGTAGTAGTAGAATGGTTATTTATGATATAAGTGCTAGAAGTGACATTTTATTTCGTGAAAAGGTAAGTTTGGGAAACGACGCCGAAGACGGAGTGTTCCATCCCTTTGAACAAAATAAAATCACTTTTAGCACGAATATCATACACTATTTTTTCTACCAACGCACTAAAAGTGATTACTTTTAGCACTCAGTAGGTACTAAAAGTAATCACTTTTAACACCAGTGTCATTAAATGGCATCTAAGACACTGACAGCATCAGTTAAAAATGACACTTGTAGTAACGTTTGTAGAAAAAAGTGTTTTTTGTTGTTTTCGCCATTTAGGCCAAAACAAAATATCATGTGTTATATTATATCGTCGAACTCGCAATTTTTTTCTCAAACTACTGAACCAATAAGATACAGGGTGTTCCATTTGAAAAATCTTTGTTTTTTCAAATATCTCAGAAGATAAAGCTCCCATATTTTTTCTAAGTACGCCACTGGATTCTACGTAAAAAAAAAGACGTATTTTTCCTTTTTGTACTTTTTCTATATCTCCGTAGGGTAAGAAGTTATAGAGGATTATAAAAAACAGCTGATTTTGAAAAACACCCTGTACCTCGCAAACCAATATTGTCGGCCAAGATCTGACTACACCATCAAATGACACACTAAAAAAGAGGACGGGAAGCGTATATCAGTTTCTCAGTATCTTCGGCCATTTTGGCTGTACCCTATCAAACTATCGAAAATCAACCACCCTGTACATCAGCATCAGCTTTAAAATTATGAAACTTTAAAAGACAGGGGGCATATAGGTATAGGTATCTACCTATATTAGAAGATGGAGGGAGTGGAAGTATGTGGTTTTACATGGGACTTAACTGCTTTAAGGCCCTATACCTGGGTACTGTAAAGCAAATTGAGTAACTTGCACTAAGCGGCGAAATATGATTTGATTTGACCTACCCGCCCATTTCTGAATTTTATTTTGAATCGATATAGAAAAACAAATGCATTTCTCTTCCACAGCTTCACAAAAATCGAATTTCACATACCTAATTAAATAGAACAAACTCCCAACAAAATCTGAAAAAAATAAATGTTTTAGGTTAAGTTTTGTTGTTGACATCATTTCAAGGTGTTTAACGGGCTAAATTTTGCGTTACGTTAGGATTATTGACTTTTTTCAAGTTGACTTGGAATTTATTTCAATATTTTTCCTTACTGCATACTAATTATTGAAATTCACGAGGTCAGTTGACTTCATTTCAACATCTTGAAATTATAAAATGTCAATAATTGAAAAGTGGACCTACTGCATAGCAAATATTGAAATGTCTGTACAATTTCAATTTTATGTCACAATTTCAACCTTGACTTCAAGTCAATGTCCTTACTGCATAGCCCTGATTGGCTCAAAAACAACTATAGCTGAGTAGCTTCCCGTATGGGACCTCAGTACCTGCTGGGAAACTGGCTAATTAACCAAAAACTCTTCAGTATTGAATATAGGTAGTGTTGATTGAATGTAGTGTGTGTAATTAAAATTTAAGCACAAGAACAGGGACGGTACCTAGTTTCAACACTTATTGAATTAATGACTTACAGATATTATTAAAATGATACAGTATGTTTCGATTTTTGAGGAATGTTAGATCGAGGGTTTCTCTGCCGTGCTCTTTCCCCTCGTTAGTTCCAGGATGAGAACGGTACGATTTACTTTAATAATAAAGTAGACGTTTTCACAAATTTCTCGTTTCTTTTACATATCACAGCTTCCCTTAAATGTCTCAAATATTTGCTGTCGGGCGCATGTCCAGTAAGTAAAATTGAGTAAGTCTCCACAACGTAGATCCTATTTGTTTTTCATTTCGTTTTTCGGAAGATTTGTTGTTTAAAAGGTAATAAAAATTCTCACCGTTCAATCTTACTGAACGAACCCGGGTATGTTATACTACATGGTGCATAGAAATTTTCACAGTTTCTGCATAGGACGGTCTTTTGTGAGGTACCTAATAGGTACTGGGCTCATATGGCAGATTGGAAAAGAGGTGCCTTTCAGGCAGTCCAGGAAATAGGTACCTATATAATTTTAGGTTGCAAAATTCATGGTAGTTCTGGACATAGGCTTGCTTTATGTTTTCCGGGTCGCTGAATCCGAATTTTGAACTTCCCACCAAAAATTCCCCCGCAACCACCCCAAATTTTGAAAAAAAAAGGAAAATATATCGTTTTTTTTGGAAAAAAAATCGTTGTTGTGTATATTTAAGAGAAAAACTATCTGGAAATTCGGAAACTAGACAAAATTTACGATAAAAAAGATCATAATATGAAATTTTGACCTAGGGCGGAATGGGTAGGGAGTTAGCGCGTTTCAGAATATGCACCACGCACGCACGCCAGCATATCAGATGGTAACTGCGTGTGCGTTGTTAGTTCGCCGCTTTCGCGACCTTGGTTCATTCCCTCCCCTGTCACACCTGTCAGTCATGTCATGTAGTCGATAATTCTGCCCATAGAGAATTCTGCCCCAGGGCGATGTGTCGTGTCATATTTATAGCAATTTGTTGATCGTTCTCCTGGTTTTTGACATGTTTTATAAGATTTGCAGTGTGTTTTTTGATTGAGCTGTTTCAAAAAAACGCGTTATTGCATTACATAATATGTGACTGTATAATTACTCATAATAATAACCATGGTTGATGAGACTTTAAATTGTTTGATTTGCGAACTTCCGTTATCGGAGGGCACAACAGTGAACGTGACGAAAAAAGGTTTAAATTCTTTTCTGGCAGCGAGTTTGAACCGTAAGAATAATAAACGATAAAGATGATAATAATTAATAAATAAATTAATAATAACGCATCTGATAGTGATGGTCGGAGTGACATAGATATAAACCTGGGCCCTCTGCTGCAGTTAAGCGGAAAAATAATTTAAACTGTTGGCGGTTGAGGCTTGGAGGACTTCCATATATCAAATAATAATAAAGATTAAAGGAGGGGGGTTAAAACAAAAGATTAAAAGAGTGAAGGAAGATCGAACTTAAACGGCGTGGGTTGTTAGGCGACATGCGTAACTCGGCGTATGATACCCTGAGCAATGAGGATGCTTCAAGGCACGCCTGCGCCCTCTACGTTCGCCCTACGTGAAAATGTTTTAGGATATTTTTTGTTGAACATTATGTCTACATTTCAAATTTGTACCCAAAAAAAAAATCGATTTTCTACCAAAAAAATAAAACATTTCCTATTTTTCAAAATTTGGATTCGGCGACCCAAAAAACATAGAGTAAGCCTATCTCCAGAACTACCATGAATTTTGCAAGCAAAGGTCAACATACGATCTCTATTGCCTGGATATAATAAATTTGATGATGGGCGCTCTGAGACAAAACGTCGGATATGAAATTTAATAGGTAATGTCTTCTTGTAGAGTAAAAGTGGCAGTGATGAAGTGAAAACGGACACCCTGTATACTCCAACCTTTGCAGCTGACCAGGACCAGCCATTAATTGGCCAGGATCTGAGTATTTGATGAATGACAACAATAAAGAACGCAAAATCTTTCAATATTTGATAATGGGTTTGGGCAAGATAAAGAATATCCCTATACATATTATTATGGCTTTATGAGCTTTACGTGAATAGAATCTCAAACTAGGTACATAGTTGTTAATATTTTTCTATGACCCTTCTAATGAGCAATGCATACCCATACCTAATTTTCAAAGAAAAATTAAACCTTGAATCGAAGGAATATTTCTGTTTTTGCTAAAATCTACGAGAAAAATATTGAAATTGATGAAATAATGCCCAATGACAGGATTCAGCTATATGGACTGTCCCAACGTTCAGGCATTATTCTACTGTTTGATGAAATAAAAACAAAATACACAAGTTTAAAATAGGTATATTGTTAAAATTTAAGAACAATAACAACATCAGTAAATAGGTAAATTTAAAGTTCACTTAATATAATTTATTTTATATTGCTTTATTCATTGAAGGGACAGTCAAAGAAGAAATACTTTCAAAAAAAATTATGTTTAGTATAAACATAAATTTAATGATAAATAAATATAAATGCTAAAATATTTATAGATCAACTTCAACTCCTTCCAAAATCAATCCAGGCACCAATTCCATATAAACCGGTCTAGAGTTGATCACCATGATTTTGTCTTCATCAACATTTCTCATATTATGATCCTCTTTGCTTGTCAAAGAAAATCGCCTCACGGCCTCAAAAGCAGCTGAATTTTTTATGGAATCTTTACGCACGTTTCCCTTCATTGATTCTCTTTTGAAGTTGGTTTTACGTAACATGCCTTGAAAATTGAAAGGCGGCTCGTCTTCGGATGTACTATCCCGTCTACAATACAGAATTGTGTCTAATTTTGGAGAATTATGAAGAAAATATTAATACCTTTGAGCTATGTTTCGTAACTCCGCTATAGGATCAGCATTCTTAGGCCTTGAAGTTAAGTTGCTAGACTTAATAAACTCAAAGTCCTTATTTGCAGGTGTTGAATTAAAAGAGCTCTCTTGTTGATGTCCAAATCTGTGTTTGTTTTCCAGGCATGGAGTTTTCTTCAAATGAACCGAAGGCATTATTTCTTGTTTTTCCTTGAAATTGTTTCGATTCTGAATATCCCTGGAATGCACTGCATTTTTCTTAACCAAATAATTTTCCTGGTTTTTGCTGTGTTTTTCGTCTCCAGAACAGGATGGCAGTGCAGCCAAAGGCACTTCAGGGTCTCTGCCATAAGGAATTGAAATAATGTCGGCTTTATCAGATGTTTGCATTGCATAATCCGCTGCTTCTTCTTGGCGCCATCTATATGGAGAATCCCAACGTTCATTACCTACTCCATTCCTAGAATAATTCAAGCTCAACCCATTGGATTTTTTTTTCAAGAGTCTTACCCAACGTTGGTTAATAAATCGCACAGAGCCGAAGTATCATAAAAAGGTATATCATCTAATCTAAAATTCATTTTTCTTATTATGGGAGGCACTGATCCTAACCAACCAACCGCTTGAGCTTTTTTGTCCACTCTTTCCAAATCGGTTGCTTTTTGTACTTTTTGACTTTGAAAGAATGTTTTTTGATTATAAAAGTGCACCTGTAAAAGAAATTGTTACCAATAATGGTATAATTTTCTGGGCGAATCTTATACTTACCTGTTGAGAAAAGTTGAAGAATTCGTATAACTTAGCCGCTCTATATTGCATAAGCACATGGAAAAGGCTATGACTTTTCCATTTCTTAGCAAAAGGTATAATAAACTGCTTGTCTTTATCTTCTAACGGTTCGAATATGTCTTCTGACTGGCCCCTAATTTTTCTTGTATTTTTTCTGTAAGCTAAAAACAGAACTATTTTACTTTAAAACTAAATAATAATATATTTTGAAGCAAATTGAAGTAATCCAAAGCTACAATTTTGCTATACTAGGTAAAAGGGGATCAACTAACTTTGTCAGTTACCTTTTTGGATAACTGTAGCCGCATCATCTTCCGTCAATGCGGCGCTACTTCTGCGTCTTTTTTGAATTTCGTTGACTAAAATTAGTTCCATTTGCATTTTTTTCTAATAATCAAACTTTACTTACTGGAATTTTTTTGTTGTTCCTTAATCTGTTTGTTAATTTTACATTTCGCCAAAAATCCTCTCAAAATACTCTGAATCTTAACAATTTTTCTGACTTGTGTCTCATAAAGCCTTGACAAATATTCCTCATTATAATACTTGAGGAAAACTTGAGATTTTCCTATAGCCCAACCTTCCATTTTAAGCCTGATTAACAGCAAACGACAATTTTCTTTGGTCACTTCCACATTTTCATCGAAATCGAAAGCCAAAAATTGATATCTGCGTAAAAATTCTGAGAAAGTTACCCTTTGAGGAAACCCTTTTTGCCTCACTCTAGCCGTTTCGATTACAGCCAAAGCTCGTAGCTGTTGTTTCACTAGTTCCTTATTGAAATGTTCAACTCTTCCTTTCAAATCTGATCTGATGCACCTTATAAAGTGCGTTCCTCCTGAGCTACCACCAATAGAGAGCTCTTTTAACAATTCAAGACAGAGGCAACGGAAAATAGTACCTGTGGTTCGCATGTTTTTGATTTGGGAGAATTCATGAACACCTGCAATCTATTTGAAAAAATATATTTTAAGATGTTACTTAAGTTTGTATTTAAAAAATACCTTCTTGCTTGATATAACTGCGCCACCCCTAATATTTGAATTTAGAACATTTCTTCGTCCTCTATTGAGATTCAGCAGCAAACCACCAGTTCTGTCCAATTTATTGACAAAGAGCATCCTGATTATGGGATTATCAGATTCTCGCATAGTTTCGATTATTTCCGGAGGAAGGAAATCTCTGTTTTTATTTGGCATTTCTTTCGCGTTATATGGCACTATTCCTGTGTAATGAGCTACAGAAAATTCGGTGGCGCTGGTAATCATTATTCTGTTGCTCTCTTGACTTTGGAGATTGTCTAAACATAATTTGAAATTTTTGAAGAATCCGGAAATAAAATAAATGGAAATTATTTTCAGCGATATTCCAAAAAAGTAACACTTTCGAACACTACTGAAACGTCGGCGTTATGAAAAATTATGTTTGAAAAATGCGACATTTACACCAATTTCTTTCCAGGGCCGCCGCTACCATGTGTGCGGTGTGTTCAAAACACACAGGCGGCCGATTGAAAAGGGTTGCCGCCACCGATCTTGATGCACAAAAATCATGTGACGCGCCATCCAAACTATCCCCCCTCATACAACTTTTGGACAGCGTCTGAGTCGGGGTAAAGACGTAAAAAACACAAAAGAAAGTCACGCATCTGTAGTGACGTCAGAAGGGTATCGGCGCTTGACAATAATAGACAATCCTCCTTGGTTTATGTCAATCGTTCGTCGGCTGTCATTATCATTAGCTGTTTTTCTTCGTCTCTCTACGTTATATCTTTCTTCCTATCGTGTAACGAAATTTTCCAAAACGTGACGCGTCTTTCAAATCACCCTCTATTCTCGTCCAATTATCAGATCAATGCCTAAGAAGTTTTCACTTCAAAATAAATCATACCCATCGAGTTTTATTGAAAATAAACCCATCAAACCCATATCTTTGTTAAATTTCAAGCAAATTAAAATAAATTATATACCATTGGAAAGAACATTAAATTCTCTATAAATCCGTGCAAAATTGAGTTTGATACCTCACGTAGTTTTTGAGCATTTAAGCCCCAAAGTTGACTTTCAGTCCAAATTTTGTCAAAAGTTTCAAACTCAATTTGCTCAAAAGCTATAAATCTGGGAATATTGTAAATTACAGGCCATTTAAAGCCTAATAAAAGCTACAAATGCTGAAAATTTCAATGTAATTTGCTCAACGGTTACCGAGCAATTGAGGTTAGAATATTTTGAAATTAGAATTCAAAGGGGGTACCCTTATGAAAAACTCGATTTTTTTAATTTTCAGTTTTCCTAATTTTGACTTTACCAATCGATAGAGTGGGTCAAAATTAATAATAAACAACCCTGACATCAATTCCAAATGGCCATTTTAAGCAGAAACAAAATTAAAAAGGAAATTCTATTTTTGGCTCTGGAAAATTTTCAAAATCTTGACATGATCATGAGCAATTGCCCTATATCTTTGTTATAGTATTTCAAGCAAATTATATATCATCAGAACGAGCATTAAATTCTCTATAAATCTGTGTAAAATTGAGTTAAATTACATAAAAACCCATAGAAATTAGGTGGAATTCCATAAAAATTATGCAAAATTCCATACAAATTATGCGAAATCCCGTAGAAACTAGGAGGAATTCCATTGAAATTATGCTGAAACCATGGAAATGATGCCTAATTTTATACAAAGTATGCAGAATTTCATTGAAAATATGCCAAATCCCATTAAAATTATACGAAATTCTAATGAAATTAAATGGAAAAGGACATAGAATTCCAAAAAAAGCGTTGAGTTACAAAAAAATCAAAATTCCATAAAAATTATGTGAATTTAAGTCGTATAGAATTCCATAAAAATTATGCGAAATTTCATAGAAACTATGCAAAAGTCCAAAGAATTTCTGCGGAATTCTATAGAAAATATGCAATATTCTATAAAAACTATGCAAACTTCTACTGAAATTATGCGGAATTTCATAAAAATTGTGTGGAATTAATTAAAATTCCAGTAAAATTTATTGAAATTCCACGGATACAACGTAGAACTCCACACAAAAATATTCCTGTGGAATTCCGGTGAAATTATGAAATTCCGATGATATTCCAATAATTTTCCTGGAGTTCCAAGTGATTTCTCCAAAATTTTAGATTATTCTCGTGAAATTCCAAAAAAAAAAAAATATCGTATTATGGGTATCATTTAAAATTCCTGTGAATTTCCGAGGAATACCTGTGAAATTTCTTGCAATTACAGAAAATTTCCTTGAAATTACATGGATTTTTAGTGGAATTCCAGAGAATTTATATGGAATTCTGGTGTATGTACCTACATTTTTTATTTTTTTTTAAATTTACTAAAAAAAAATAATTTTTCCAGTACGTTGAGACCTTAACACCGGTTGCGCTGAATTTTACCTTATACCTACTTCAAAATTCAGGCAAATTTTAAGCTACTAAGAACTTACTCAAATATCAAAAATCTTGTGAAATTATTTGGGATTTCAGTGGAATTAAGTGAAATTCCGATGAAATTCCATTATTTTCCTAGAATTCTAGGAAATTCCTGTAAAAATAACATGAAATTCTGGTGAAATTTTTAATAATTCTTGTGAAATTATTTGGAAGTTCATTGAAATTCCGGTAAAATTATGTGGAATTTCGAAAAAATTCAAATGAAATTCCATCTATTTTCAGGAAATTCCACGTAATTCTCCCGAAATTCCAAGTTATTCTCGTAAAATTCCAAAAAATTCCCGTAAAACTTACATCAAATTTTTATGCAACTTTAAAAAATTCTTGTGAAATTATTTAGAATTATAGTGGAATTACGTGGAATTCCGGTAAAATTATGTGATACTGCGAAAGAAATACGACGAAATTTTCCGAGTATTCGACTCAATCAATGCCTCCGGAATTTTAAGTTATTCTCGTGAAATTCCAGAAAATTACTGTTAATTTTTGTGGAATTTTGAAGAATTTCTATGCTATTACTTGGAATTCTCGTAAAATTGAAAGAAAAAATCGCAAACATTTCCGTAAATTACATAAAATTCTTGTGAAATTACTTAATTTTTTTATTGAATTCTCGTGAAATTACATGGAATTCTCGCGGAATAACTCAAAATTTAAGTGAAATTGAAATTTCATTGAAATTCCGAAAAAATCCTGTAAAATTACTCGAAATTCCAAAAAAAATTTTGAAATTTCTTCGGTAAGTACCTAATTTTACTGAAATAAAATTACTTGAACTTCTTCTGAAATTATTTGGAATTCTCGCAAAATTTGAAGAAATTCCTGTGAAGTAAATCAAAATTCTCGTGAAATTCCAAAAAATTCACAAGAAACTACTTAAAAAATCGTATAAATAATTAGGTATGAAATCGTGAAATTATTTTTTAAATTTCAGCAAAATTCCAAGGAATTTTTATGAAATAACTCAAAACTTCAGTGGAATTCCAAAAAAATTTACGTGAAATCACCTGAAATACTCATGAACTATCAAAAAGTAATTTGTGAAATTACATGGAATTCTAAAAAATTCCTGTGAAAATACAGGAAATTTCTTTGAAACTAATTGGATTTTTAGTGGAATTCCGAAGAATTTTCTATGAACATTCCTGTAAGACTATAATAAGAATTTCAGTGGAATTTTGAAAAATTCTTGTAAAATCACACGAAACTCTCATGAAATATCAGAAAATTCCTAGGAACATTCCTGAAACATTCTACGAACATTCTATAAACATTCCCCGAATATTCTTCAAAAATTTCCTAAAAAACACATGTTGAAACATTCCTGAAACATTCTTGTTACATTTTATAAACATTTCTAAAATATAAATTGCAAATTTTTCAAAAAAAAAAAAACATGTTGAAACATTTCTGGAACATTTTATAAACATTCCTAAAATAGACGAAGTATTTCAAAAATATATTGAAATATTTTTGTCTTGATGTGACATTCTACGAACATTCCATAAACATTCCTGGAAGGGTACCCCCTTTGAATTCTAATTTCAAAATATTCTAGCCTTAATTGCTCGCTAACCGTTGAGCTAATTACATTGAAATTTTCAGCATTTGTAGCTTTTATTAGGCTTGAAATGGCCTGTAATTTACAATATTCCCAAATTTATAGCTTTTGAGCAAATCCAGTTTGAAGTTTTTGACAAAATTTGGACCAAAAGTCAACTTCGAGGGTCAATTTCTCAAAAACTATTTAAGCTATGAAACTCAATTTTGTACGGATTTATAGATAATTTAATGCTCTTTCCAATGATATATATTTTATTTCAATTTGCTTAAAATTCAATAAAGATATGGGCAATTGCTCATAACCATGTCAAAATTTTGAACATTTTCCAGGGCTAAAAATAAGATTTCCTTTTTAATTTTGTTTCTGCCAAAAATGGCGATTTGGAAATGTCAGGCTTGTTTTCCACTAATTCTAACCCGCTCTATCGATTGGTGGAGTCAAAATTGAGCAAAACTGAAAATTAAAAAAATCTAGTTTTTCATAAGGGAATACCCCTTTGAATTTTGATTTCCAAATATTTGAACCTCAGTTGCTCGATAACTGTTTGTCAGTATTTGAAGTTCTTATTGAGCTCTCAATGGCCTGTAATAATTACAATATTTTCAGATTTATAGTTTTTGAGCAAATTGAGTTTGAAGTTTTTGACAAATTTTGGACTAAAAGTCAGCTTTGAAGCTCAATTGCTTGGAAACTATTTGAGCTATCAAACTCAATTTTACACAGATTTATAGAGAATTTATTGCTCGTTCTGATGATATATAATATATAATTTGCTTGAAATACAGTGTGTTCGGCACATAAGTAGACATACGTCAATCTGAGATAGGTGGGGCCGTCTGCTATGCGGTCCACCCAGATATTTTGAACTGGGCCATAAGATTTTTTTTTTTAGAATTTAAAAAAAAAAAAATCAAAATTTTCAATTTGCAGATTTTAAACTGAAATAACTTTTTGAAAAATCATGAAACTGACAACATTTTTAATTTAATTTAAACTAGACTAATTCTAGAATCATACAAAAACAGCTACAAAGAAAAATACGGGCCCTCAAACCACAAAAAGACTCACAATTTTGTCAAAAACTTCAAACTGAATTTGCTCAAAAGCTATAATTCTGGGAATATTGTAAATTACAGGCCATTTAAAGCCTAACAAAAGCTACAAATGCTGAAAATTTTAATTTAATTTGCTCAACGCTTACCAAGCAATTAAGGTTAGAATATTTTGAAATTAGAATTCAAAGGGGGTACATTTCCAGGAATG